TTTATAAAATCTATTGGAGGTTAATGTCGGGTCGCGCTAGAACATTTTCAAGGCCCTTCGCCTGTGACGCAAGGGGACTAGGCGTAAGATTCCTATCTCGTTTAGCACGTGAACACAACCACGAGGCCGGTGGAATCCAAATTTTGCCATAGAATAGTAGCAAAGTGCCCATACACGTTGATAAAGGAATATATAACTGCGAAATAAATATAATCAAAACTTCCAATCTGTATGTAGGTACCTAAGTACCTACCTATAGGGCAATTAAGACAACCAGTCCTTAATAGAGACAATCTATTAATAATTTTCTATTTGACTACGTAGAACGTGGGTACTTATAATCTAATTAATAAATTAACCACTAATTACCGATCTTATCAATTTGCAGGGAATGTAAACATGCTACTGTGTAAGTAGATACTTAAAGTACTTATTTATTTATCATTTATCAGACTCGGATGGCCACACCTTCCTACGAATTTATTGTCAAACATTTTGGATTATTTTATTAAACAAAATACATCATTATACAGCCACAAGCTCAAAGACGTCTAAGCTGCATCATGGCGTTTTATGATAGGTGCATCATGGCCAGATCAGATAATGCCTAATTAATAATTGCAATTCGAAAATACGTATTCAATGACATTGTAGGTGGTGAATTGTTCATATTCATCGTAGATAAGATAAAAATAAGAAGCTAAACAGCGCTGACAACGCTACCTAATATGGCGAAAGATAACCGCTATTTTGGATTTAAAAGACAAGCATGATAGTTGGAAATAGGTACCTAGTATTCTTCGTTTTATATTAAGCCTAGCCAGAACCTTTAAGGTTCTGTTGTTAAACTTTCGCATACAAGAAACTTGTTGGACGAGCACAGAGTAGATTTAAATAACGTTAGTCACTACCCCTGCTGTTCCTGCAAGTATGCTTAAGTATACATATAGCACTCCCAAGAAATATTTAACGTGACAGACACCCCGTTCTGAACCGGACTGTCCCTTTCTATAATAACGAGTCCCGCTGTCCCAAAATGAACTGTGATCCGCAAAATTGTCTCGTTTTCGGAAAAATTCTTATAATCACATTTTCCGCGTTATGTACCTACTCACAAAATTTTTATGAAAAATGAAAAAATCATTAAGTACCGAAGTACCTACATTTTTGTACAGTTAGTAATGATAACCTTTTGTTTGTGAGTACAAAGTTAATGTTTATAGGGCCTCTATTAGAATTTAAATAAATGTCCCGTTTTGAGTAAAAAATAAATAGGTAGTCACGTTAGGTATATTACACATTTAACCAAATCGAGCAGGAGGCGAATAAACGTTTTAAACTGAAATCTCCCCAAAGAGTATAATAAGTATAGGGGTCTCCCAATCGCCTGCCAAGTGCCATGTGGGAGATTATGACAATTCCTCTTATGTAAAAGAGGTCTATAGTCTAGCACTCAGTGGACTGTCACAGGCTATTATGTAGATGCGACTTGTGTGTGCCCTTGTTATGCACATGAGAAATATCACACTTCATTTTACCTCAATCCATGTAAAGGTATCGTTCATAGATGAGCCGCGGAGAACTTAACAGGTTACCGGGGCTCCGGCTCGAAGTGCAGGTGTAGGATGGTTTTTAGTCAGTAAGAGTCTGCCACTCGGGAGGGAGTTTCATACTGAGACCTCACCCAGACGGGAGAAGCCATTCGATGATATTTTACCCTTAAAAAAATCGTTCATAGATATAATAGTATCGTTACGCTCGTTTTTTTAGTACTATGCTACTCCTTTGTATTTTTCAAAAATAATGTGTTACCTAATGAGGTAAGTACTTACCTACGTACTTATTTTTCAATTATGAAAAATTTATCTTACGGTCTCGTATCATGCACAGTTCTTGGTTAACTACATAGTTAGAAATATCAAATAAAGAATAAGTAGGTACATAATATATTTGTATATCATCACGCCCTTTAGGCACGCTCGAAGGGTAGGCTGAGGTGCACACTTAGGCACTCACTTTTCATGTAACGTTAATGGAGCAGGGTTTGTGTAAAACATATCAATTATTCTTATGACAATCACGACTTCTTGTTCGGCAGCCGTGCTTGCGGCCACTCGATTAACGTAGCAGTCGCTAACTTGCTATATTATTGTTATTGTTTGTACGTCAGATCATTGAGCCTGCTAATTTAAGTTAAATCTTAAGTAACACATGCCTCCATCAGAAGAAATTCAACTTATCTTTCTTCCTTCAAGACTTCGCTACAAAATTTACGTTTTCATATTTTAAGTCACAACATTAAACTTAAGGTTTTCTCATATTCTGCACTTTATGTAGGTGAATATCGTTTAGTTAAAAGAATAGCCAACGAAGGTTTCGTCATCTTAAGCTGGAATATGTCGACTGCTGAAGTGCTGAACATGGGCCACATTATTACATGAACATCTGACGAGAGAGTCTGCGACAATTTTCCTGTGTCAGGCAAATCGGCAGACAGGCAGATAGTCATCAAAAAAATTAAGAAGGCTGCTGTCCGCCCCGTGAAAAAATAAGTAGGTACCAAAACAGATAAAAAATCTTGACAGATTTTTAATTGTTACCGATTTTTCCGCTTTGCCTGCGTGGAGTGAGGTGCGACAATAAAAATATGACTAAGCATAGAGGCATGTGTGCACCAAACTACAGTTTTATCAGATTTATTTACTTGTCATTGAAATAAATTATCCAGTTTGGTCTAAATACTCTAAATGATGAGTCATCACAGGAAGCAATCACGTTTTATTAAATAGGTAGGTAACTAGAAACGCTAAGGTGTTAGGTATACTTACCTATAGTAAAAATTATTACTTAATATAGAATTTATTGTAGGTAGGTAAGTACGTATAGGTACATACATACCCTTGTTAACAAGTTTATAGTAATGTTTTTGTCGTAGAACGAGGTTATCGCGAACCGATTACAGATTAATGGAGATCAACAAATAAAAACGAAATAACTACGTAAACCGAGATAGGCATAATGCTCGTCGCTATCAACATTTCACTCGTATACCCAAGTCCTAAGGTTGAAAAAAGTCAGCAGTAAATATTGCTGATTGTAAGTACTTATTGCACACAATTTTAAATATAATTATCAATGCAATAAAACGAGTATTGCGGCGGAATATTACAACATTACTTTCAGGGCCATATTTCATAAAATGGTGTAGCGAAGCAATCATAGAACGTGATGACGTCAGTTGTTATAAATGTAAACAAACCACAATACCTATCAACACTTGTAAACAAAATGGCATTAAGTACGGAAAATTATAATATCTTGTGTCGTTAACATATTTTTGTCAGTCACTGTGTCTAATTTCTTTGTTATTGGCTTAACGCCCAAAAATAAATGTTTACGCCCAGAAACGTGACTTACTTTATTAGAAGTATCGTGAAACGTGTGGCTGGCAAAATTATATCACAGGCAGGACTAAAAAATAACACGATGCTATTTATATGCTGTACAGTCATCATTACTGACTGCTGCTATTTGTAGCCGGCTGTAGGTGGGTGTTTATGTTCAGAATAGAAGTAAAACAACAAGGTACATATAAAAATATTTTATTAAAAACATTTTGGTAACATTTAATAAGAACACTTAGGTAAAAATAAATCGACCTCAAAATCATTTCAAAAGAACAGCCTGGACTGGAAGTTCTCGGAGGAAGCCGGAACAGCAAAAACTAAAATAAATAAAAACAATGATAACACTCTAGGCAGAGACATGTCTAATTGACAACCAGAATTAAGGCATCGCAAGAATAATTATTTAAGTACGATAAAATACCTACGTCTATTATTATAATTACAACAAATAAACGCCTAGTTCCTAACGTTCAGTTGTGTATGCGCCGGCCCGCCGAGGACCGCGGAGCGCGGGCGGGCGCGGGCGGCGACGCGCGACCCTGTACAAGTCTCTTGGCAGGGGACTTACATCGAGTATTATTGCCACTAATATTATTCACTTCATTCACGAGACATTTTGCTTGCCACTACGCCGTAATCATACACTACTAAATACTAAAACATCCCAATTATACAAAGCTATGTTAAAATTTACCTAACTAATAATATTAACATCTTCGGCTAATTTTGATACTAGAATGATATAATAACATCATCATATTGTACTCTTAACATTACGCTGGATTATAAATTATAAGTGAGGAATAAAACATGTTACACATAATATTGCAAGCATTACTGAGATTGTGCACGTTACGTGATTTCATTAAACAATAAATCGATAACTTAGTGTAAGAAACGAAGATTGCTTATACTGAAGTTGACAAAGGAGTAGCGGGCTGCGCCCTCACAAACAGCTACGATAAAGGAACAGTCATAAAGATTAAATTACGAGCATTGGCACTTTCAATATTAAATCTTAATTACACTCTCGAAATAGCACTGCATATCAATAACCAACTTAAAAACTAAATTCAGATCAGTCATTTATGATATCACATCAAAATAAACAGGGAAATACATAAAATATGTGATTATCGATTGGATATACTATATCATATATATATTATATTTTTTTCAAAAGAGGTATTAATTTTCTTAAGGGTTACTAAAAATATTGAGCTCTGCGCCGCGCGCGACGCACTATATCACCATAATACGAGAACAACATTGAACCAATAAGTTTTGGTACTGGAGTTCACCTCCGAGTAAATCTATTTCGCTAAACCTACATAATGCTTATCAGATATACGTAATACCCACAGGACGCGTGTCGCTGGGCCGGGGCCCGAGGGCTGGCTCGAGGCTGGCCCGCGGGCTCGCTGGCGCTAGCCACACGCGTCAGGCAAAAAACCCTTCATTCTTATACAATTTTCATTATAAAAATACTGTCATTTGACTACAGTTCAATGAGAAAAAAATATTTATCATATGAATGAACAATAGATATAATACAACATATAGTAATATTATGTATAATATCATGTATATGATTTGACTAAAACAAAATAAAATGCATAAAATTGAAATGATTAAAACATTGTAAAATCATTTGAAGACACTTATTAATGGAAGGTACTAAATTGATGTTTTTAGAAAATTTTGTTAAAATAAATAGCACAACAACCAAAATATTTGGTAATGTGGATTAAATAAAACATTAACAACTACTACCCTCGGCTGCTAACTTAAACACAAATCTGGAATGCAAATATTGCATCGCACCTCGGCCTCTCTTGTTGTCGCGCCGCGGCGCCGCTCGAGCGCTCGCTGCGCACGGGGATCTACTAACTTAGGACACGTTCACAACAAGAGCTAGTCTACTAACTGTGCGTATCGCTCCAAATACTTTCCTTTGAACTACATTCGATTGCAGCTTTGTCATATTAATAACTAAAAATAATCTGAATGCAACACTTGATTTTAAATTAACCAATAACAACCATTTTGTGAGTCCGTGTGACTGAGGATATAGCACACTAGGCAAATGAAGCCACCGCTAAACATTGATATATAATTATTTATTCGCCAACAGCACGTTGAGGGGCGGCTTCCACAAGGCAATAAACGAATGTGTATCACTGTTAGCTGCATTCTGAGATCCATGCTATATGTTCAGTCATTACCCACTGAATCATAAATACGTAAATAAATATTTGTAAACTTCAACTACTTGCTTAAGTTTTGTGTTCATAGCCCAGTTCATTGATTACAGACAAAACAGAAAATGAAAGCTTGTGGACATGGGTCGACATCAAGTACTTAGTCGTTTGAAATGCAAAGTGAAACAAAACCAAGACTACAATTAATAACAGCTTGGGAGTGAACTACTACGCTGACATAAATAGTGTTCTGAGAAAACAATGCGCGCGCATGTTGGTCCCTTCCAAAATATTTGCCAAACCTTTAAGCAAACGCCATAAGATGTAACGGAAAATTTTGAAAACTACATACTGTATTGTCTCATATCAACATTTTTTTATAAAAATAACTATGTGGGAAATATTTCAACATTATTGTGTACAAATACTCCAGTTCCAATTTAAAGCTGATCACAACATAGCAGAACTAAAGTTGCACAAAAGGACAGTATCAATTATTCAATATAGTTAGTATGTTATACATTACTTACATGTAATTGAAGAGACTCACACTATTAAATATCTTGACTAAATTAAGAGACCACAAATATTACATTTATATATGCACGTACATAGATATATTGCCAGTCTGTTAACGACACTTACTATAATTTCACTAGAAACCCAGCATCTGGGCGTATCAATGACTCAAACGTTTTAAAACGGTCTGTAACAACTACTAATACCTTAGATTATCTAATCACTGCATTAATTTGTGATGATATGCACTGATAACCCATTTTGACTATGTTCCACATGGGCTCATCATATTATAATTACAAATGAGTTGTTCAAAGCTTTATAGTTGAGTTGATAAGTTGATTTAGTTAAGGGTAATGTGTCAAGATTGTATCCTCTAGATTATATGTCATCACTATTATTATGTAATGCTCGGACGGTAAATCCAACAATCATCATAATTACATCTTAAAATTAAATCTACAGCTTGGCTTTAAATTCGTGCCTATCTCGTCAAAATCGTAAATTTAAATAACATCCGAGAAGCAGCCTTTTGGTTTTAAACAATGACGATCCTATTGATAAATGACTGTGGAATATAAATATCTAAATTATCTCCTACACTACTAAAGAATATTATAAAACAATATTTAAATAAAAACTATTACATGTAATGGTGGGAAATAACTCATTATGATATCATAAGTAAATGTCATTAATTTAAATATTGCTTTAAGAGTAATTAATTGGACACAAAATCCATGGGGTTGAGTTACACCCTTTGTATTTTATACTAATCAATATAAATTGTATGTTCAACAATTTATAGTTAATATAATATTCTTTGGATAACAAATCATTAACATTTCTAAGAGGAACTAAGTGTAGCATAAATATATTACTTTAATATAATTTGTTGATGGAATTACTTTTGGTTTGATCCAATTTTGTCTTTTCTTTGAGACTGGGACCTAGAAATGCTGCTTTTTGGAATAAATCTGGAAATATTTATGGCATTGCAAGTCCGTACTATTAATTATTAAGCCTAACTTTATCACACAATTAAATAAGTTAAAACAAAACGAAGTCATGAATCGTCACGCATTCCATTCACAGAATTTGTCAAAAATTGTCTTGTTTAAATTAAGATCACAGTATTAAGTCACGTTTAAAATGTAACTCTACGAATGCGCGCGACGATAGTCACATACATATTCCACAGTCATCCGTAGAACTGGAGCACAACAGGTCAGCATAGGAACAAACTAATATAGGAAAGTGTCACAGAACCATTGCTTTAGTTCAAGTAAACCAACCATGATATAATTTCATGTCAGTCATGGTAAAACATTTCATACTTATTTGATAACAAATTATTAAAATAGAATGTAAAACACAAGTCAAAAAGATAACAACAAGCAAAATAAATGATAATTTCTTGTCATTTTTATGAAAAACAACAAGTAGTCACAACTCATTTTATAAAAAAAGCAGGAACTAAAGCCATGGTTCAGCTAGTAATGGTACCAAGCACCACCCAGTGACGGTAAGAGTTAGAGAAGTTGATATGCACCCTGATGTGTTCCAGTCGTACCCATTTCACATTTGTTTGTTCTGTATTTATGCTGACTCATAGTCACGTCAATCTGTGGCAGCTACGACCCATGAGAAGCCGCAGAGGCGGCAAGAGTCCTTTACATACTGTGTGCGAGTTCCATACGGGCCCAACCGGTGATACTGCGAGCGGTTGGCGAAGAACAGCGCCGGGTTGTTCGGCGGCAGCACGGTAGGGCGGTAGCTCCACCGCGGGTCCGTGAGGTTACCCATCAGGTTGAGGATGTCGCGTCCTTCGTAATTGATTTTGACATCATCAGCTATCTTCTCTTTTGGACGTGGCTGGGGCTGCACCACGGGTTCGAATATTTTCTGAAAATTATGCACACATTGACACAACAATAATATCGGTGACTTTACACAGCACACAAAACATAACATTATAAGTATTGTAGGTAGATCTACATTGCATACTCGCTACCTGCTATTCAAGTTGCAAAATGATTTTGGCAAGAACCTAACGGCAATAGGTAGACATTTTGATTATAGTATACATCTGTCCATAATAGAATAGGTACTACACATTTGTACATCTTAGTTTTATTCCGAAATCTGTAGGTAACTTGTAGCCATGCCTTCGAAATTATTCCATTATCACAGGTCGATAATGTACACAACATTGATAGCGTAATATAGACATTCGCCATTACGGATTATTATGAAAATAGAGAGGTCAAGGCCAGGACGAATGCAAAACAAAATAGTGCAAAATTATACACTCACCTTCTCTGTTGTTTGAGGACTAGATGGCAAGGAGTCGCTGTTAACAGATTCTGATTTAAGCGACCCCAGCGACCCGATACCGCTTGATTCGCTGGAGACTGACGGGCTCGGGCTCGACTGCGATTGAGACAAGCCCGCTATGTCTATAAGCCCGAACGAGCTGAACGAGTTAAAGTTTTCCGTCTCCAACCCCGCCAGAGGTAGTGCAACGCTTAAAGCCATGTCTGTAAATGTAAAATCACGTTTGTATTGGAATTACACGTGCATTAATCAACTGCGTGTGAACACTATTAGCTATGTTGACAGAATCTAACCAACGCGCCAAACTGTTACGGTTTTATGATCACACCACACTGGAAACAATGCGCCACTCACCTTTGACTAGAATTACAATAAATATTTCAGAATCACACTGTATGCAACGAGTAAAACAATATTTACCGAAAAGCGTAATCCCAAAAAGCTCAAGCCTCGATGTAGTTGAAAAAGATCGAACATTTATGTTGTGAAGTTAGCTCCAATAGCGAGTTTGCGTGTGCGTGATGTCGTCGAGCGCGCACCGGAAATAGCTTGGTCGGTAAAGTAGTCTATTACGCAGCAATAACATTTTCCAGAAAAATTACACTTATTAAATAAAAAAGTATCCCAAAAACATTATTCTTATTTAAGATTGGTTTACAGTGCAAATATTATGATTTTATACATAATAATTTTTGAAAAGTATCTAAAGTATTTTTCTAGTAGTTGATTATAGCGCTCTCTGTGAAGCAATTTATGAAACACTGTGAGTGGTAGGATGTTCCAACTTCGTTTCCCTATTCGGCACTAGATGGCAGCACATGACTTCAGCAAGAAGGTCGCTTTCAAAAAGGTCAACCTTGTTCTGCTAGATGGCGCTTTACTATAATTACAATTTTATTTTAATTGGCGTTAGTACACAGGATGGACGGACAGACATTAATATTTATTGATAATCGAATTTTTTCTTGTATTGTGAGTTTATTCAGAAAGATAAATATATACTTACAAATTCACATACACATTGCATCTGAATAACAATACCCGAAACAACATTTGTGGATCTTAAACTGTCAAACACCAAGCGGTCACCGGTGACCGCAACCTATTGTTCGTAACGTATAATTGTGTCTATAATGACGGTGCTTGACGAGTTAAAGAGTTGCTCGGTGCTGAACCTACCTAACCCTGAAACCTGCGCATGCAGCAACAACTGTTACAGTCATGCAATATATTATTATTTCTGTTTTTGATTTCTAATATAATTATATGCAGGCACTATCTTTTTGTTAAATCGAAAGAAATTAATCAACGTATCACCCATAACAATAAGTGACACTGCATTTTATTTGAAATAGAAGTGCAAAGATTTTAAAATTGAAAAAAAATCAAATTATAATTCATGTACGTTACATAAATGTTTAGGTAGATAATGTCTGATTATAAAATGGTTCTTTTTACTCAGAGTACAAGAAGCACATTGACACAGACTTGATTAGATAAGTCTAGTCCTAGGTCTTGTGGGCAATGCAGTCTTCGAATGTTTCATTTCTCCCACTAAAATGTTAGATTGGGTGAACAAGAGTCGTCATACAGCAACCTACTTACGTTTTTACGGAGTAACACAATTATTTTTATTACTCTTTTTTTTTTTAAGGGGGGAAAAACATCGAATGACTGCTCCCGCCTGGGTGAGGCGGGAGGGAGTGTCAGACTCTTACTGACTAAAAACCACCCCGTTCCTTCTCCTGCACGTCGAGCCGGAGAACAAAACGAGCCGGAGAATAAAAATGTCGCGGAGAACCTAACGAGTTACTGGGTAACTCGTTAGGTTCTCCGCGACATTTTTATTATACTTATATTCTGTATAGAATCGGGATCGAGAGAAATTTATTTATTATTACACACATAAGTTAATATTACAGGTACAATAATACATACAAAAAATGTAAATTTAAATGTATATTGAGGCTAGCGAAGCTACATTACAGGCTAAAATCAGTCAAAAATATATGGTCTTGTTTAGATCCCCCCCTCAGTCAGATAAATAATTGACAAAATTATGAAATAAAAAAAAATATTAGGTATATCTGCCCACGTACCAAAACTAAATCCCTAATAATTAATTAACTAATACAAACGTATTGCAAATATTAAATCGAAACAGGTCAGGTGAGAATAATCTTTTTTTAATCAGTTTGTTTTGACTTGATAGGTAACAATTATTAATCGTATAAATAAGGGACTTTTGGAACGTATTTTTCTTTTAAGTCATTGAATGACTTCTCCCGCCTGGGTGAGGCGTCAGACTCTTACTGACTAAAAACCACCCCGTTCCTACTCATGCACTTCGAGCCGGAGCCCCGGTAACCCGTTAGGTTCTCCGCGGCTTAGGAACGTAATACTTATGTTTCCATATCTAAAATTAAATATGATTATGTAAGTATTGATATAGGTACCTACGATAAGCGCTCAAACCTTCTCCATGTAAGACCGAAGGCCTCTCCTTCGGTCAAGAGTGGCCTATTTATAAACTATTGATGTTGTTGATAAGACTTATAGTAAGATTTTAATCCTCTTCATAATTGAGTATATTCCTTAATCAAAAATAAATTATTTCGAATATTATTAAAAAATAATCACACTTTCATTAAGTAATTGATTTTATAACCAACTTAATTTAAGTATTTTTCCAGCATTTTTTTAGGAAATGAGTCTGCTGGTTGACGCTTAAAAAGACGTGACGTCACAATACACAATCTCGTACTTACAAAATTCATAGAAAACTGTCGTTTTTGACAGTTCGAAAAAGGTATTGAGTTTGACAAGTTGGTATAGTACTTGACTCAATTATGTATTGTGAAAGCTCACGTTTAACAGGCGCAGGTTTGATTTATCTTTGTTAATTTGTTAGCAATAAGTGCCTTCATACTGATTTACAAATACGAGTATTGGTGTTTAGTTTTCACTCAATTTGTGTAAGATATTCTTTCATTCTAAATCTCCTTTATGTAATTACATCTTTCTAATGTTATAAATGACTTTTGTGAGAATGTGTAAGTACGTCGATGTTTCGACTGTAGGAAGGGTACACCGACTTCAAAAAATGGAGGTTCTCTGTTGCACCTGTATGTATGTATGTATTTATATATATGTATGTACGTATGTTTGTGCGTCATTATCTCGCGAATAGCTGAATCGATTTTGATGCGGTTTTCAGATAAGTGTTTGTTACGTTAGGTGAAGGTTTTAGTACCTATATTAATTAACCTGCCTTACTCGATGGCCGCAGGTCGCAAGTGCGACTGCCGGGCAAGGGTCGATGATTCTCGGGTCGGGCAAAGTATTACTCGGTTTTTAAAAATTCTCAGTAGTAGGTAGTACGGAGTATGGAATTGGGTCGGGTATATGGCAATAGACTCACCCCCTATTACATGGGACTGAAAACATAAATAGTTAAAAGTGGGTGTTACATTGTGCAGTGGCATAGCGTGCAATCTCTGCCTATCCCTTCGGGGATAAAAGGCATGATGTTATGGTTTATTATTAATTAACCGACTTCAAAAGATTAGGGGATTGAAGTCCGTTTTTGCAAACGTAGTTTATGAAAGAATTATTAAAATATTTATTAAACTATTTTCAGAATAGAGGGCGCAGCACGCGCATATCTGAATTATTTAACGAACTAATCAGGTAAGGTGCTGGTAAGATCGAGATACATTTTAAAGTCTATAATATATTCAACTAGCTTTTACCCGCGACTATACCTGCGTATTCCCGTTTTATACCATGAGAACATTTAGTCGGGATAAAAAATCGTTTCACCTAAGTCAACCCATGCATGTCATCCATGCCTGTATATCAAATTTCATCAAAATCCTTTCAGTAGTTACAGCATGACTGACGGACAAATAACCAAACATCAAAACGAAGAAAGTTTCACATTTATAATCTTAGTGTGTTTAATTATCTACATACCAATAATGTATGTATGTAGCTAATATTTTGAATATTTTTTAGCTTTGCATTACTACAGTTAATGAAACCACAAAAGTCTTCATGAATTCATAATCCGCTCGTGAAAACCTATCGAACATTCGATCTTACCTAGGCAGTTTTTGATTTTTTCACGGTATTGTTAACAGAAAGGCAAATAGAATTTCATTTAAATTGTAATGTCTATGTCGATGTGATTGTTCAAGATAATATCCTTATGATGTGTTATTTCATAATCTTCAGAAGTTCATAAAAACCATTAAGGCTGATTTTTCCAACGACGGATAAATTTTAACAGAGGGATAACTTTGAATATTTGGCAGTTCTTCCATACTAAAAACTGTCAACTGTCAATTATATTCTACAGTTAAGTATTAACTGATTGAAAAATCGCCCCTAAATAGAGTAACGTTACACAGTGTATAGTGTGTCAGTCACAGTGCATGTCTTAGGTACGTGTCAAACTGCTTTTCTGTTCGTTATTAAAACATTGTTTTCTAAATCTTTTTATTGTTGTAACATGCCCAAGTCTTTTTGGGAATGGAGATGATAGCCGAAATAGTTCAATTCGTCAAAGGTACAAAACAAAATTTTTATTTCGTTATTGTAACGTGCTTGCAGTTATTTCAATTATTAGAAGATTTTTTGCTAAAACTTTCTATTTTTTAGTTCCCTATTTCTGCGATCAGGGTCTGTTCTGTCAATTCTAAGGTATCCTATATTATAGCAGACTCTTGAACGCAATACAACACTTCGAATTTAACTAGAAGCTTATTAAGGTCCCTGTCTTACAAATGCATCCAACTTATTTAAGAACATCTCTATCTATTTGTGAAATTATTATTCTCAAATAATTATAATTAACCTTGGTTTTTCCGAAATTAATTGGCGCAAGCGGGTTACAAGTGTTACGTTTTATTACGAGAACAAGAAATGTGGTGAGATGGCCGCGGGTTGGCAGCCGTACTCAGCGGCCACTTGGTCCGCGGCGAGCGGCAGCGATACGCGCCTAAATGCTCCAAATCGGGTGCTTATGATTTGTAAATATTCTTATATCGGCACTTAGGAGCGTCCGTTCAATAAATATAATAGTAAACATCCGTGCAAATGGCCGTGGCGGGCGGCAGGCGGCGGCAGGCGGCGGCCGGGCGGCGGCGGGAGCGGCTCGTGCCGACGGCGGGGCCGCGCTTTATCGATTCGCGCCCGCGCGACACACTGTATCTATCCTCTCATCGATGCCCGTTTGCTGGCCTCACAAAGAAAGAGATAGGTTTCGCCGACTTTGATCCTTTTGTTTTTGGGCAGCGTCCGGCGATGCGGGCGGGGGCTGAAAAATGTGAAGGGGCGCTGATTGGCCGGCCGGGCCCCGCCCCGCGCGGGCCCCGCTCCGCGCGAAAGCCTCCGCGGCTCAGTTCAAGGGCGGTTGCCGCGACGCACGCCGATTTGTTTGGGTTCCCGGTTATTTATAAACTTAATAAAAACTGAATCCTGACCGCGGACCGACAAGCTGCTGAA